GTGTTAATGCAGCGAGGCCATGTGATAGCTTACGCTTCGAGATAGGTAAAGCCTCACGAGGCTAACTATCTGACACATGATTTGGAGCTGGGGGTTGTGGTGTTCGCCTTCAAGATTTGGTGGCATTACCTCTATGGGGTCCGGTGTACTATTTACACGAATAACAAGAGTTTGAGGTACCTCATGGATCAACCTAATTTAAACATGAGGCAGCGATGGTGGTTAGATGTGGTGAAGGATTACGACTGTGAGATGCTTTATCACCCGAGCAAGGCCAATGTAGTGGCAGATGCCCTGAGCCGCAAGGCGGTGGCGGCCCCAATCCATGACATCTGTTTGAGAATCACAGTGGTGACTCCATTGCTAGAGCAGATCACAAAGTCACAGTTTGAGGGCCTGAAGGAGGAATGACAGACGTGCGAGAGGATCGTAGGTCAAGAAGCTTCATTTGATTATGACAACCGAGGATTATTGACCCTGCATGGGAGGGTCTGGGTACCGTATTGGGGTGGAGTACGACATTTATTGATGGATGAGGCCTACAAGTCTCGGTTCTCCATCCATCCAGGTGCGACAAAGATGTACATAGATCTTCGACCTGATTACTGGTGGCCCTGCATGAAGCAGGATGTGGCTTGGTATGTTGAGAGATGCCCGACCTGCAGAAAGGTCAAGGCAGAGCACCAGAGGCCCCATGGAAAGATGCAGCTGTTAGACATTCCCATGTGGAATTGGGAGGATATCACCATGGATTTCATTACTAAGCTTCCCAGGAACACACGTGGGGTTGATTCGATTTAGGTCATCATGGATCGGTTGACCAAGAGCGCGCATTTCATCCCAATCTAGGAGAGCATCTCGGCTGAGAGGTTGGTAGAGATTTATGTGTGAGAGATAGTGGCACGTCATGGAGTGCCTATGTCGGTGGTGTTAGACCGAGATGTTTTTTTTCTTCCAGGTTCTAGAAGCGATTCCACGACGAGATGGGTACTCATCTCCATTTTAGCACCACTTTCCAACCTCAGAAGGATGATCAGAGTGAGAGGACGATTTAGACTCTCGAGGACATGCTATGCGCATACGTGTTAGATTTCGGTGACAGTTGGGGATACATATCTTCCGTTAGCGGGAATTTTCGTATAACAACAGTTACCATGCCAGCATAGACCGACCTCCATTTGAGATGCTCTACGGGAGGAAATGTAGAACCCCAACCTGTTGGGGTGAGGCTGAGTAGAGGGTCATAGGGAGTACGGAGGTAGTACTCAAGACCACATAGCGGATTCAGCAGGTTCGAAGCAGGCTCCAGACTGCTCAGAGTCGGCAGAAGAGTTACGCCGATAAGAGGCGATCAGACTTGGAGTTTCAGGTGGGCGATATGGTCCTCCTAAAGGTGTCACCCTAGAAGGGCGCTATCAAATTCCGGAAGCGGGGTAAGTTGGGCCCCAGGTTCATCGGTCCTTTTAGGGTTATAGCCCGGGTGGGCAGGGTAGCGTATCGGTTAGAACTTCCGGCAGAGCTCAGCCAGATTCACAACACCTTCCATGTCTCTCAGTTACGGAAGTGCTTAGTGGATGAGACAACAATGGTATCGTTAGAGGACATTCAGGTGGATGGCAGCCTGAACTACATTGAGAAACCAGTGGCGATCCTTGACAGGAAGATGAAAGATCTGAGGAAAAAGAAAGTGGAGCTGGTAAAGGTGAAACGGCAGCACCGCAAGGGTTCGGAGTGGACCTGGGAGCTCGAGGAGGAGATGAGAGAACATTACCCGGAGTTGTTTTCAGATACAACAGACTTCGTGGACGAAGTCTAATCCAAGTGGGGGTGATTTGTAACACTCGATAATTGAGGTATTAGTTTTATTTATTTATTTATTTTATAATTTATCTTGGGCCTAATAAGATAAAAGGTTTTTGGTTTGGACCTAAGTTGATGGACCAAAAATTTGGGCCGCCCCATAAGATGTGCGCTGAGCGTAGCCTTGGCATACGCGGGGTGTAGAGACGCACATCAGATTTGGGGAGTGCGCACACGTACGTGCAGCGTACCAGGTTTACGCGCAACGTACATGAGCGGGAACTAAATCCTAATTTTTAGGGTTTAAGGCATATAAATACCTGATTATAGCCACACCCCTGATCTCCTTACCAGCCTCCACCCTCAGAAAACCCTAATACACCTTTCCTACTCCATTGATAAGTGTGTTGATCTCTTGAGCTTGTTTTAAGTAAAGGAAGGCTTGGAAGAGGTGAAGAGAAGTTGAAGGAGAAGAACCAAGGTGAAAGAAGCTCAAGGATCTAGAACTATTTCCTCTTTGGAATCACAAAGGAGTTGTGAAGTAGCTGGAGCAACAGACAGTTATACCTCGCACGAGTTTCAACAGATTTGAGAGTGAGTTTTCTTCCAGTAGGAACGGGTCTAAGGCACCAAGGCTGGCCTGTTTAAGTAGTAGAGTATGTCAGGGTAAGCCCATTACCGAGGTTAGCCCGATGCTATTTATGTGTTTCCGGACTTCGGTCCGATGCCGGGGCGGTCCCGAGAAGTAGTTATGTATTCTTGATGTCTTTGTGATTCATGCATGTTTTTGTTATGTGTTCCGAACTTCGGTCCGATACCGGACAAGCCCAATGCAGATTATGTGATTATGTTATGTGTTTATGATATATGTTATGTTGAGTATGTGTCAGGGTAAGCCCGATGGTGGGTGAGCCCGATGCTGGACAGGAGTCTGATGCCGGGTAAGCCGATACCGGGATTCGTCCCGATGCAGTTGGGAAGAGTCCCATAGTTATATTAATTGTTATACATGTTATGTATGGTATGTGGTAGTTTGGGGGAACTCACTAAGCTTCGTGCTTACACTTTCAGATTTGGTTTCAGGTACTTCAGCTAGTAAAGGGAAGGGCTCGAGCTGATGACATAGCACCCACCACTATTGATCAGCCTGGGAGTTACTCTGATTTTACTATGAGACTATATTTGTTTATCCGATTTTTATGAGTTTGAGATACTTGTTTTATGGTTTTACTTATTGACAATGAGATTTATGTTTATTAAATGATTTTGAAAATGAAAGTTTTGGCTTGTATTTTGGGATGTTTCAACTTTATCACCAAGTTGCCAAGGACTACGCGTGGAGTTGACGCGATTTGGGTGATTGTGGACTGGCTGACGAAGAGCGCTCATTTCCTCGCCATTAGCGAGAGCTCTTCTACAGAGAGATTGGTCGAGATTTATGAGCGGGAGGTGGTATCTCAGCATAGAGTGCCAACCTCCATAGTGTCAGAGCGAGATGTGTGTTTTACTTCCAGATTCTAAAAGAAATTTCATGAGGAGTTGGGTACCATCCACAGACAGACGGACAGAGCGAGCCGATGATTCAGACGCTTAAGGACATGCTGAGTGCATGTGTTATGGATTTTGGGGGAAGTTGGGACACATATTCGAGTAAATGTATGCCTCCCTTTGAGCTTCTTTATGGGAGAAAGTTTCCGACTCCCATTTGTTGGGGTAAAGTGGGGCAGCGAGTGATGGGTGGCACTGAGATAGTGCTGAAGATGACTGAGCAAATACAATAGGTCAGACAGAGGTTACTGAATGCTCAGAGTCGCCCAAAGAGTTATGCAGATAAGCGACGATCCAAGCTGGAGTTCCAGGTCGGAGATTTTGTACTCATGAAGGTATCCCCTTGGAAAAGGGTGACCCGATTCAAGAAACGGGGCAAATTGGGGCCCCGATACATACGTCGATTAAAGGGTGGGTCTCGATTTTCTTGAGGTGTATCTAGGATTGATTGAGAAAGAATAAGAAGTTGTTCTTCACATAAGAGGAGATAAAGAAGGGTTTAGTTGTGAAATCAAACCAAAACAAGCTTACTCCCCTTTTTAGCAGGTCAAGGGGGCTTTATGGCCCTAGGAAAAAACGAAGGACCAATTAAATCAATTAAGAAAAATTTGTAAAGCATCAATGACATTATCCCTTTAAAAAACCTTTTGCTACAAAGAGGACCCAAAATAAAAACAAGATTATACCCAGAGAGAGAGAGAGAGAGAGAGAGAGAGAGAGAGAGAGAGAGAGAGAGAGAGAGAGAGAGAGAGAGAGTTTTTTATCGCTTTTTTTTTAATTTAAAGAAAATAAAAAGACAAAATAAAAAATGACAAAATAATTATTTTAAGCTCTTTCAATTTTTCAAAGAACCAAAAATCACGAAAAAAAATCAAATTAAAACCACGGGTGCAAATCCAATTGTTTTTGGATCATAATCACAAAAAAAAAAATAATAATAATAATAACAACCACATATATAAAAACCCTGGTTTTACAATTTTCCCATAAGTTTATTTGATTTAACTCAATCCATTCAAGATTGACATATAACTCAAGCTTAAATGAAATATTGAACAAGTTAATAATAATCAATTGATTATGAATCAGTATTTGTGTACAATTAATATTTTAATATGATGTCTTAATACCAATTTAAGAAAAAAGTGTTAAAAGTCGCTTTTAGATTAAGGTTAGTACCACTTTCAAAAAAAAACTTAAATTAGTGATTTTAGGTTTAAATCTTATGATAAAGAATTAATATTTAATAGAACTAGATTACAATCTTTAATTCCACGCTAAATATTATTATATTGGATTAATATAAAACATACTATTAATAAATCAAAGTTCTTTTATTAATCAACACAGAAATTAAACAGCTTAAGGAATTAATCTTAATTTTGGAAAGCTTTTATAAATAAATAACCGTTGGAAATCCAAAGAATCTGGTTTCGTATTCGCGCATTTATATCTGCGTCCTTCAGTCGTTTCGCTTTCATCAGACGCAAATATAACCCACCTCCCTCTTTCGCCGGAGATATAAGTAAAACTCGAAAGGGTTGGGTCAGTAATTGCGCATTATACCGTTTGTTCTTCAGCCATTCCGCTACCCAAACCCCCCGGAGACCCATAGCGATCTCTGCAATTCCACTTCAGGGAGACCCAGACACCCTGATCCTTTACAGGAGACTCACAAAAATCGTCAAGATCGCTGTAAGTTTTCAATTTAAGGTTAATTGTTGTTTTTTATTCTATTTTGTGTTTCTACTTCCAGTATTACCCCTTCTTCTTCAGCTTTTCGATGGCAGGTTTTTCTGATGTTATAGGTTTAAGTTACTCCACCAGATTCATTGTAACTTAGAAAAGAAGGAAACTACAGATTGTGTCTCCGTGTTTTTTTTTTGATCTTTTTATTGGGTTCTTCGTCCTTTTTTTTTGCTTTTTTTTTTTCTTTGATAAAATCTGGTTTTGTTGGTTGTAAGAAAATGTCATTCATTCTGTCACTTTCTTATGGAAGCCTTGTTTTGTCAGATCAACATGTTTTAGTCAAGTCCTTTTTTGTGGCTATGTCATGGTTGTTCTTCATATTTGTTAAAAATTCAGTAATGTGAAATCATCATTCTTTGATTCGTATATGTTGAACTGTGACTATGCTACTGAAGGATCTGTTATGTTTATTAATTTATTTTTCCATAACAAAATTATACTTTCTAGAATTACAACTCTTATTAATATTTAACAGTTATATATTTGTGTAGGTTATACAGAATCATTCAAAGTGGAATACAAATAACAGATCCCTACATCAAAATATGAATGCTTGTATTTGGTAAGTCTTGGTAAGCCTAGCTTTTCGAATACATGACAGCTAACACACCAATTTTAACAGTTATATATTTGTGTTGGTTACTCGTTGTACAACATTGATCTTGGTTTTTGCCAGGTCACATGTCCCTATTAATTATAGAGTAAATTACAATTTAGTTGCTCTTCAAATCAAGTAATTAAACAATAAGATTCCCAGTAAAAAAACTTTCTTTTTCATGAATCTTGAATGTACAACTATTTATGCAGGTGTCACAAGTTCTGTTCATACTACCATAAGCATGTGCAGATACATATAATGATTGAAATACAGATTGTTTATATTATATATACTGAATTGCCTCGGCAGGGCTGATGCAAATTATGCTCCTGGACGTTTGATTTATGTGGTTTCGATTTATGAGCAAATCTGGCTTTGATTTCGATTTATGTGGTTTCCATTTGTTGTGTGTCTGATTTCGATTCGCTATTTATCTGATTCGGCCAAGTGATTTCAATTTGTAGTCATATTTTATTCAATTTGAAATGACACATTTTTTGGTCTAAAAAACTGAAGTCAGACCTTCAGATGTTGTATGTGCAATAAATCCTGAAACAACTCCAAGCTCTGCAACTCCTAATTCTAACCGACTTCCTAACCCTGGGGTGCCCCTTCTGGTATAAAAGACATTATAAACTTCACATTCAAGACTTTTCTTTTTTATTTTTATTTTATTTTATTTTTTTTTAAACTATTATCTTATATCTTTGTATGGTGAAAATGATTAGGTGGTTTTCAGCCAACAAGGGCACCAAATGTATCTGGGTTAGGTGGTCGTGGTTTACCAGGGGCAGACATGACAGGTGGCATGCCTGACATGAGCCAGCTGTTGCAGAATCCAGCTGTTTCTCGTATGATGCAAGTCTTGCTTTCAAATCCCCAGTATATGCAACAGGTATGTTAAACATGATATACACTATAGTTGAGGTATTAGAGCTTTTATAAATATTTTTAATGGTATTGGTGATGTGAATTTGTAGATTGTGAGTCAAAATCCTCAACTTCTGATAAGAATCGATAACACAATAATGAAGAACAGAAATTGTGAGTCTATGTCTCTTAAGTCTATTTCACATTGAAAATATTGTACCTTTCAACTTTTTTATCTTGTTTTTTCTATTTCACATTGTCCTATGAAAATCTAAACAACTATAACATTGTACTTTTTAAAGCTGGCTAATAAACACCTGCTTGGTCAACAACATATAGGCTCAGTAAGATCTAATACAATCTTAGATAACATGTCAATTTCGGTAAATATTACCTTTTTCTAAAATAACTTATCATAGAGATTATTGTAAATAATTAGTCTGTTATATGTTATGATTGACCCAAATAAAAATATATAAAAGTTGTTCCAAATTTTTGTATATCAGAAGTAGGAAATCTGTAATATAAGGGTGAACAAATATTGATGCCTTACTGGAACCGATATTGAATATATCGAATATAACATCTAAATGTGTTATTCAATTTTGATGTAATATGGTTGAAATTATGCTATTACTCTCTTTAGAGACCCATACAGTTGATGAATGAATGTGTACTCTGATAGACATGAGGAAACCCCTAATCAGGTAATTTTTCATTATATAGTAAATGTATCTTTTATCATTCTTAAGTAGCATGAGTTTCTTTGATTTGAGTTAGTTAATCTTTAATGATTTCTGGCATTTGATTACTGATTTATCTGCATATGGATTGGTGCTTCTTAGGGTAATAACGAGCATCACCCTTTTTGTCCACCAAAACCAGATGATGTTGCTACAAAATGTTATACAAGTGGTTTCTTTTTCTTATTCATTTGTGCCTTTTTTCTTTTCTTTTCAACTCTACAAAAGTTTAATCATTTCATCCACTTATTCCTTTTCCTACATGGTAGTAGTTTCCCATGGAAACCTGATTGCAAATCTTTTTGAAATTAACTTCTATCCATCGATGTGTAAGTATCAGCAATCTTAAATTGGTTAAAATGTCAGTTTTTTTTGTCCTAATACTACCCATGCTTATTTCAGTTATCTATATCTTATCTTTCTTTTGGCACACATCACATACATAAAAGGCCCAACCAGATGATATAGCTGCCTTAGTCGGATTTTATCAAGGAGTAAGAAACTCAGGTTTATGTGTTCTTTTTCCAAATTAAGTTCATGTTAAAACTGCTCTTTCATTTTGACTTTATAGGTGACAAAGCTCTACGTTGTATTTTTATTTGTGTAGGACAAGTTGAATTGTTTGATGTCATCGATGATTATATAAAAGAGTATATGATGGGTATTATATATATATATATATATATATATATATATATATATATATATAAGCAATCACTAAAAATACATTGTTATTTCTTGCATTTAAACCCTATATTTTTTAAGTGCTTTGGTTCTTTACTAATGGAGGGGGGTTACATTGGGTGGATCTTGAAAGTAGAATGTTGTAATAAGATTGAAAGGAAAGTTGGATGCTATATATAATAAGCAATCACTGAAAGAAGAATGTTTTCATTTTCACCAAATATAAAAAAAATATTATGATTTACGATGAAAGGATATTGAGAAGATGAAGATAAGGGTAAAAAAATCATTTTACCTAAAACTAGTCAGTTATTTTTATAAGCATATTTTTAATGGAAAGATCAGGCCCAAAGTTCAGCTGTGATCAAAACGGCATGCAATCTCAACTCTATGCATTATCAAAGGTCCTCCCTCTATCTTGCTATATATAAAACAAGTGTATTTTGGTCATTTAATAAAACGAAGAAGAAGAATGTAACTGAATTCCTTCAGCCTGCCCCTATGAATGGTTCAAGTCAATCAAATATAAAAGGAATTTGATGAAAGTTGAATTCTATCCAAATTTTCTACCAAATGCACAATTGAATGGAATCCTGAATTCCAGTTCTACCAGAATCCATGATTCCAATTCATAGATGTGAGTTTCAAACATTAAATTTCAAAAAATTCAATAGGACTGAATTTCAGCATAAACCAAACACGTCTTGAAATGGAATCTCTGAAATCCAACTGTCAGAATCCGTGATTCCATTTCTTTGCTGCGGTTTCCAACATCTGTAACTGTTTTGATAAGGCAGCTGGTGGAACCTCTCAACAATCCACTGCACAACTTGCTCAAACAAAATGATTGCATGAATTACTTTTTATTCTGATTGAACTCCAACGACAAGTAAATTTACTCTTCTACCCTCAAAAACTACAACACTAATTAAAATTTATATCCTTGTTTCAGGGAAGTAGAATACGAAAAGACAATAAGGTTATGGGAGGTGTTGAACACTTTCATCTATACAGAGCCAAGGTAAGAAACCAAAGTTTACTTTGTTGATTACTTAATAATATACATGCAAAAGTGGTATATAGTAAAGCTTTGTTGCAAGCTTTGTCCTTGGTGCTAATGGTGTTACAAATTGTCCGTGCAGTCCAAGTAAAATGACTACTTTGCCACTCTCTCTTTCTCCTAGAGCATCTAACCTCAAAATTCCTCAATCGTCATCTTAAACTCTAATCAAACCAAAACCCAAAAATGATTTTTCCTATCTAACATATTAACACGTTGTACTTTTTTATTTATTAAGATTTTGCATTCTAAAATTTAGCATATTAAGAGTCTGTATTTAGGCGATTTTCAATTCCACCAGCATCCACAATTCTAATTCATAGCTGCGATTTTCAAACTTGATATTTCAAGAAATTCGACAGAACTGAATTCCGTCCTAATTTTCAATCAAACATGTCTTAAAGGAATCTCGAATTCCAACTCTGTTGGAATCCATGATTCCTTCTGTTTCTACCCTCACAAACTACAATACTAATAAAAGCTTATTACATGGTTTCAGCGAAGTAGAATACAATAAGGCAAAAAGGTTATTATGGGAGTTGTTGAACACCTTCATCTATATGGAGCCAAGGTAAGATACCAAACTATACTTTGTTAATTGCTTAATAATATTCATGCAAAACTGGTCTATAGTATAGCTTTGTCCCTGGTACTGATTTTCTTACAAACTTGTCCATGAAGTCCAAGTAAAATGACTATTTTGCCCCTGTTCCTTTCTCCTTCATCATCTAACCATAAAAACTCTTTCTTCTTCATCATCTAACCATAAAATTCCTCACTCTAATCAAACCAGAACCCAAAAATTAAACTAAACCTAAAACAAAATTAAGATCCAGGGTACCAATACTTTCATAATCAAACCTATTAAGACATTGTAAATTTATTTTTTTTACTGTACCTAGAATAACTAAACATGTTTGTTTTTGGTTACCAGTTATAGCATTATACTTTTATTTTGTTTTTCCTACATGGATATTATACTTTGAAAATCTAAACAGTTATTATTTTTTTTTTCATATCAAGACACATTGTACTTATTTATTTATTCATATATTGCATTATAAAATTTACCATATTAAGACTCTGTGTTTTGCCAATGTAAACTTGTTTTATTTTGGTTAACATTTATAGCATTTTCCATTTAAAAATCTAACATATTTAAGCGTTTTAGTTTTTTTTTTTTTTTTTTTTTTCTTATTAAGACATGCACTTTACAATATTGTACCTTTCAACTTTTTTATCTTGTTTTTTCTATTTCACATTGTCCTTTGAAAATCTAAACAACTATAACATAGTACTTTACAAAGCTGGCTAATAAACACCCGCTTTGTCAACAACATATAGGTTCAGTAAGATCCAATACAATTTTAGATAACATGTCAATTTCGGTAATATTTACCTTTTTTTAAAATAACTTATCATAGAGATTATTGTAAATAATTAGTCTGTTATATGTTATGATTGACCCAAATGAAAATATATAAAAGTTGTTCCAAATTTTTGTATATCAGAAGTAGGAAATTTGTAATATAAGGGCGAACAAATATTGATACCTTACTGGAACCGATATTGAATGTATTGAATATATCGAATATAACATCTAAATGTGTTATTCAATTTTGATGTAATATGGTTGAAATTACGTTATTACCCTCTTTAGAGACCCATGCAATATGCTTTTCTTGGAATGTTTGATGTGGCAATGAAACGTATGTTAGAAGGCATGGCTTGTAGTCATCAATCAAAGCCAATGTAAGAGTTTTGCTGCATTTGTAAGATAGAATTAAGCACAGCATTCAGTTGATGAATGTGTACTCTGATAGACATGAGGAAACTCCTAATGAGGTAATTTTTCATTATATAGTAAATGTATCTTTTATCATACTTTAGTAACATGAGTTTCTTTGATTTGAGTTATTTAATCTTTAATGATTTCTGGCATTTTGATTACTGATTTATCTGCATATGGATTGGTGCTTCTTAGGGTAATAACAGGCATCACCCTTTTTGTCCACCAAAACCAGATGATGTTGCTACAAAATGTTATACAAGTGGTTTATCTTTCTTATTTATTTGTGCCTTTTTTCTTTTTCTTTTCAACTCTACAAAAGTTTAATCATTTCTTTCCACTTATTCCTTTTCCTACATGGTAGTAGTTTCCCATGGAAACCTGATTGCAAATGTTGCTGATTGCAAATCTTTTTGAAATTAACTTCTATCCATCGATGTGTAAGTATCAACAATCTTAAATTGGTTAAAATGCCAGTTTTTTTTGTCCTAATACTTCCCATGCTTATTTTAGTTATCTATATCTTATCTTCCTTTTGGCACACATCACATACATAAAAGGTCCAACCAGATGATATAGGTGCCTTAGTTGGATTTTATCAAGGAGTAAGAAACTCAGGTTTATGTGTTCTTTTTCCAAATTAAGTTCATGTTAAAACTGCTGTTTCATTTTGACTTTATAGGTGACAAAACTCTACACTGTATTTTTATCTGTGTAGGACAAGTTGAATTGTTTGATGTCATACATGATTATATAAAAGAGTATATGATGGGTATGATAAATATATATATATTTTTCAACTAGTAAAGCTTTATGATGCTCTATTACTCCATTGGGTGTGTGGTTATCGCAGTGTTATAAATGCTGTGAAGTCCTCCGATGGTATGAGAGAAAGTCTATTTAATAATGCGAAGAGGAACACATTACATTACTTAAAAGGTAACAATTTACAAAACTTTCTTCAACACACACACACACACACACACACACACACATATATATATATATATATATATATATATATATATATATATATAAAAGCAATCACTAAAAATACATTGTTATTTCCAGTCGTCAGAATCCGTGATTCCATTTCTTAGCTGTGGTTTCCAACATGTCTGTAACTGTTTTGATAAGGTAGCTGCTGGTGGAACTACTCAACAATCCACTTTTTTATCTTGTTTTTTCTATTTCAGATTGTCCTTTGAAAGTCTAAACAACTATAATATAGTAATTTTTAAAGCTGGCTAATAAACACCTGCTTGGTCAACAACATATAGGCTTAGTAAGATCTAATACAATCTTAGATAACTTGTCAATTTCGGTAATTATTACCTTTTTCAAAAATAACTTATCATAGAGATTATTGTAAATAATTAGTGTGTTATAAGTTATGATTGACCCAAATGAAAATATATAAAAGTTGTTCTAAATTTTTTATATCAGAAGTAGAAAATTTGTAATATAAGGGCGAACAAATATTGATATCTTACTGGAACCGATATTGATTATAAAATCTAAATGTGTTATTCAATTTTGATGTAATATGGTTGAAATTACGTTATTACCCTCTTTAGAGACCCATGCAGTATGCTTTTCTTGGAATGTTTGATGTGGCAATGAAACGTATGTAAGAAGTTATGGCGTGTAGTCATCTATCAAAGCCAATGTTAGAGTTTTATTGCATTTGTAAAATAGAATTAAGCACAACATACAGTTGATGTATGAATGTGTGCTCTGATAGACATGAGGAAACTCCTAATGAGGTAATTCTTCATTATATAGTAAATGTATCTTTTATTATTCTTAAGTAACATGAGTTTCTTTGATTTGAGTTAGTTAATCTTTAATGATTTCTGGCATTTGATTACTGATTTATCTGCATATGGATTGGTGCTTCTTAGGGTAATAACGAGCATCACCCTTTTTGTCCACCAAAACCAGATGATGTTGCTACAAAATTTTATACAAGTGGTTTCTTTTTCTTATTCGTTTGTGCCTTTTTTCTTTTCTTTTCAACTCTACAAAAGTTTAATCATTTCTTTCCACTTATTCCTTTTCCTACATGGTAGTAGTTTCGCATGGAAACCTGATTGCAAATGTTGCTGATTGCAAATCTTTTTGAAATTAACTTCTATCCTTCGATGTTAAGTATCAGCAATCTTTAATTGGTTAAAATGCCAGTTTTTTGTCCTAATACTACCCATGCTTATTTCAGTTATCTATATCTTATCTTCCTTTTGGCACACATCACATACATAAAAGGTCCAACCAGATGATATAGGTGCCTTAGTTGGATTTTATCAAGGAGTAAGAAACTCAGGTTTATGTGTTCTTTTTCCAAATTAAGTTCATGTTAAAACTGCTGTTTCATATTGACTTTATAGGTCACAAAACTCTACACTGTATTTTTATCTGTGTAGGACAAGTTGAATTGTTTGATGTCATCCACGATTATATAAAAGAGTATATGATGGGCGTGATAAATATATATATATATATATATATATATATATAAGCAATCACTAAAAATACATTGTTATTTCCAACCGTCAGAATCCGTGATTCCATTTCTTAGCTGTGGTTTCCAACATGTCTGTATCTGTTTTGATAAGGCAGCTGCTGATGGAACTACTCAACAATCCACTGCACAGCTTGCTCAAACAAAACAATATCTTAGCTGCGGTTTCCAACATGTCTGTAACTATTTTTAACTAAATCTGTTAATGACATGTAATTCCAGGTTTGGGAATTTTTATTGAGATCTTATTCATACAATTTGACATATGCAGAGAGGCGGTATATTGTCTCAGTTAAAACATTAGAGTACATGACTTTCAAAAAAACCAATGGCAGGTAATGACTATTTTGCCCTTCAACTTCTTTCTCCCAACATATTATATTTATTGCAAGTTTATCTTGTATAGTATTTTCCCCAGAACAGGCTAAAAGGTTTACCAAATTTGGAGAAAGGAAGGGTTTGATCGAGAAAGATGTGTTATGAAAAGGACCATACAATTCAAATTATTTAAAGTGTTTGTTTTTTTTTCTTAAAAAAAATTAAGTATTTTTTTTAAAGGTAAGGATTGACAGGTCATTGTCGTTTCATGAGGGTGATGATAATCCATATATTCGCCTTTTGCATGATATATTGTTGGCTTACTCATTCTACAACATTGATCTTGGTTATTGCCAGGTAACATGTCCCTATTATTTATAGAGTAAATTACAATTTTGTCCTTGTAATATTTCAAAAGTTATGGTTTTCATCTAGATGTTTCATTTGTTGCACAAGTGGTCTTTAAAGTATACCTTTGTTGGAAGGTTTGTCCCTGATGTTGATGGTGTTACAAATTGTCCGTGAAGTCCAAGTAAAATTGCTTTTTTGCCTCTATCTCTTTCTCCTTCATCACCTAACCATAAAATTCCTCAATCCACACCTTGCAAAAAAATGAGCATAAGACTAAAAAGATTATCTGGTTAAAATTTTTAGATCATGATTTTGGTTTAAGTTTTTGGGTTTTGATTGAATGTGTTTTGGTTTTTATGATTTATGAGTTAGGAGATTGAGAAGATGAAGATAAGGGGAAAAAAATCATTTTACTTGAAAGTAATATGAAATTCCATGGAATTTGACAGAGTTGAATTTGATCCAAATTTTCAACCAAATGCACCGTTGAATGGAATCTTGAATTTCAATTCCACCGGAATCCACAATTCTAATTCATAGCTGCGATTTTCAGACATGATATTTCAAGAAATTCGACAGCACTGAATTCCGTCCTAATTGTCAATCAAACATGTCTTTAAAAGGAATCTCGAATTCCAACTCTGTCGGAATCTGTGATTCCTTCTGTTTCTACCCTAACAAACTAAATACTAATTAAAATTTATTACATGGTTTCAGTGAAGTAGAATACAAACTATACTTTGTATATTGGGAGTTGTAGAACACCTTCATCTATACAGAGCCAAGGTAAGAAACCAAACTATACTTTGTTAATTGCTTAATAATATACATGCAAAAGTGGTCTATAGTATAGCTTTGTCCCTGTTACTGATGTTCTTACAAATTGTCCATGAAGTCCAAGTAAAATGACTATTTTGCCCCTGTTCCTTTCTCCTTCATCATCTAAGCATAAACTCTCTTTCTCCTTCATCATCTAACCATAAATTCCTCACTCTAATCAAACCAAAACCCAAAAATTAAACTAAACCTAAAACAAAATTAAGATCCAGGGTACCAATCTTTCATAATCAAACCTATTAAGACATTGTAAATTTATTTTTTTACTGTACCTAGAATAACTAAACATGTTTGTTTTTGGTTACCAGTTATAGCATTATACTTTTATTTTGTTTTTCCTACATGAACATTGTACTTTGAAAATCTAAACAGTTATTATTATTTTTTTCATATCAAGACACATTGTACTTATTTATTTATTCATATATTGCATTATAAAATTTACCATATTAAGACTCTGTATTTTGCCAATCTAAACTTGTTTGATTTTGGTTAACATTTATAGCATTTTCCATTTAAAAATCTAACATATTTAAGCGTTTTAATTTTATGTTTTTTTTCTTATTAAGACATGCACTTTGAAAATATTCTACCTTTCAACTTTTTTATCTTGTTTTTTCTATTTCACATTCTCCTTTGAAAATCTAAACAACAATAACATAGAACTTTTTAAAGCTGGCTAATAAACACCCGCTTGGACAACAACATATAGGCTCAGTAAGATCTAATACAATTTTAGATACAATGTCAATGTCGGTAATTATTACCTTTTTCTAAAATAATTTATCATACAGGTTATTGTAAATAATTACTCCGTTATATGTTATGATTGACCCAAATGAAAATATATAAAAGTTGTTCCAAATTTTTGTATATCAGAAGTAGGAAAT